CCCAAGCCCCGCCCCTATCCCCAAGCCCCGCCCCCGAGAGAAGAGGCGGACAACGCGGGTCGTGCCGGGCGTCGGCACAGTCTTCCCGGGGAGGGGAGGGAGGGCAACGCGAAGCATGCTGGGATCCCCACCCCCCAGCGGCACCCAGAGGTCATGTCTGGGGCCAAGATGCAGCCAGCTCTGGGGTGGAGCCGAGTATGACAGCTGCATGGAACAGCACAGGGAAAGCCCCAGCACTAGTAACTCAGCTGGACTGGTTCCAGTTGGGTAGTGGGAGGACTGGAGTCTCCCCAGATTCCTCCAGCCGCGGCGCCCCCAACACAGGGAGGCATCTTCAAGTCCCAAGATGCAGCCAGCTCTGGGGTGGAGTACCATGTAAGCTGCATACAACAGAGCAGAGGGGAAACCACCCAGTAACCCAGCACACTGGTCCCAGTTCAGCTACTGGGACGCCTGAAGCCCCACCTAGGCCTCTACCAACCAGCGACACAGAGAGGTCTGAGCTGGGGCCAGGATGCAGCCAGCTCTGGGGTGGAGCTATGTAGCACAGCTGCATAGAACAGAGCCCAGGGGAAGCCCCCCAGTGCCCTAACTGTACTGGTCCCAGCTGGGTGCTGGGCACACTAGACCTCAAGGAAGCCCCACCTTTTATCCCCTCCATGGGAGGGGCGGGGATAACAGATGGCCCCGCCTCCAAGGAATGGGTGGGGACAACAGGAAGTGACCTCACACACTGGGGGGATGACAGGAAGTAACCTTAAAGCTTTTAATTAATTCCTCTTTAATTGCATATAAATTAATGAGCTGCCCAACCCCCCAATTGGCTGCCTGGGGTTGCTAGGCAACGCAGCTGCCATCCTGACCAGGCCCATTTCCTGTTCACCTATGACACCATCTTGGATCTGGGGCCTTCCCTGTTCTCCATGACACTCACCCGGTCCTAGCCCCTCGGGCCTATCCCCAAGCCAATGGGGGAGGGGGGGGAGCCATTTTGACTCCTTCCCCCCCTTCGGCCATCTTGAAACCGGTGCTTAGCTTCTTCCCCGACCAACTGAAGGTTATCCCTGAGCTGTCAGCATTCGTGGACCGATCTCGTTGACCATGGTCTAACACAATGGCTCCACTTTTTCGCCAGTGAATGGGAGCTCACCCCGAAGTCTGCTAGAAGGGCTTCTTGAACCAACTACCTGATCCTCCCTTTCCGCAGCGCAGAGGCAGGTGCTCAGCCCGCCTGCCGTACTGAACCCATCATGTCCGCCATCTTGAAGCCACTCCCATACCCTTTCCCCAGCCAACCAGCTCATATCCCCACCCGTCGTGCTGCTGGCCATTTTAAAACAATGGTTGCCGGTTCCAGTAGCAATGGTGGCCATCTTGATTCAATGGTAACCATCTTGAATGGATGGCTAGGGCTCATGTAACGGCAGCCACCTTGAGTCCATGGGTGGGGTCTCAGTAGCCAACAGCAGCCATCTTGGCTCAATAGCAGCCACCTTGAATCCATGGCTAAAGGGCTTAAGAGTCAACAGCAGGCATCTTGAATCAACCAAGTATGCTGTCCCCCAGCCATTGGCAACGGGCTTTTGTATACATGCCCCGCTGGCCAGGTGGGGACTGGGCCTCACCGGGTGTCACACGTGTGTCTGCATACGCTGGTGGGCCGGGCGCCCATAGTCTGACTGCTGTGAGAGAGAGGTGTAGGAGAGGCGGGAGCAGCCCGAGGCCTTGCTAGCCTGGTCCGAGGCCTCATAGCCGCTCTCGGCCTTCTCATAGGCTCCTGGCTTGATATAGCTGGTGAAGGCCCGGGTGTAGGGGGCTGTGAGGTAGCCCCCGCTGTAACCCCCGTCTGGTGGGAAGAGGCGCTCATGGGGGTCAAAGGTTGTCCGCGAGGACCCCGGTGCCCCCAGGGTGTAGCGGTGGGCATAGTCGTACAGCTTGGCCTGGCCCGGGAAGAGGCTGCCAGGGGGCGGGGCACAGAGTGTGGGCGGGGCTGGTGAGTAGTCTGAGAAGCTGCTGGGCCCAAGGGGCGGCTCTTCATGGGCTCGAACCTTGTAGTAGCCATTAGTCGGGTCCTGGAAGAGGTGGAGGGGAAACCAATGGTTGAAGGTCTCTACAGTAAATATCAGTCATCTTGAACCAATAGTGGCCATCTTCACCCAACAGTTCGGTGTCCAGATGGAGGCCATCTTGACCCAGTGGTTGGAAGTGCAGGGGCCAAGGGTGGCCATCTTGACCCAGTAGATGGATGCCCAGTAGTCAACCATGTTTCAATATGACCATCATTGACCCCCACAACCAGTGGTTCAAGATGGCCACTGTTGGGCACCTGGTAGTTCATGGTGGTCATCCTGAACCAATGGCGGGCATTTTGAGTCAATGGTTGGGTGCCCAAGAGTCAAACAGTGGCCATCTTGAACCAACAGATGCATACCCAAGAGCTAATGGCAGCCATCTTGAACCAATGGCAGCCATCTAGATCCACCAATTGACTGCCTAGTAGTTAAGCATTGGTTCACTATGACCACCATTGACTCCTAACCCCCAACCACTGGTTTAAGGTGGCCGCTGTTGGGGGCCCAGTAGTTCATGGTGGCCCTCTGAAACCAATGGTAGCCATCTTAAATCAATGACTGGGTGCCTAGGAGTTAATAGCAGCCATCTTGAACCAATGGTGACCATCTTGAACAAATACTTGGGGGCAGCCCAGTAGTCAACTATGACCATCTTAAACCAATAGTTGAGTGCTTAAGAATCAAGGGCAGCCATCTTGAACCCACAGTGGCCATCTTGATCCAGCGTTTGGGGGCCCAAGGAGCAAAAGGCAGGCAACATCACTCTGTGGCAGCCATCTTGAGCCATCAGCCCCAGGGCTGTGAGAAGCGGTGAGAGCCAAGAGCACAGGGCATGATGGGAAGTAGCCAAGGCTGAGGCCTGTCCAAGAACCTCAGGGCCAGGGTGGCTTCATCCCAGGGGGGCCGATGGAATGACCCTTCCCTGGGTTCTCCGTGGGGCAGGAGGGAGATGGAATAATCCCATGGCTGTGGGGGAGGGGTCCTGTGGTCTTGCCCCGCCCCCTGGCCTGATGGGGTGGAGCCGGTGGTTCCGGGGGCGGGGCCAGGGCAGCTCACCTTAATGTCCTGGCTCCCATTGTCATCCTCCAGGATCTCGCTGTGCTCTGTGTGGGAGGTGGCCGGGGACTCACTGCTGGTGGCCTAGGGGGGCAGTAGGTGATGGGGTGAGTCCTGGGGGGCGGGGGGCATTGGGAGGAGCAGGAGAGCGGGGTAGGGTACTCACCACAGGCCGCCGAGGCCCCTTGTCCTCACTGGGCCGCCCGGGGCTACTGTCGGCTGAGGTGATCTGTACCAGGACATCCGTTGGCGACAGCTTGGTGCCCCTCTGGGCTGTGGGATGGACAGACGGACGTGGCTGTTAGCTCCTCCCCCCAGGCTGGAGCCTCACCCCCTGCCACCCAGCTTCTGGCCATTTGGGGGTTAACCATGTATGCTGTAGGGGGAGGGGCTGACCTATGTATGGACCAATTGCCTGAGCCTGGGGGGAAGCGTGGCAGAGGTGTGTGATGCTTCCCACATGCATGGAGGAGGGAGTGGGTCCCCCCATAGCTTTGTTGGCATATGTGATCCCCAGGCATGTTCACCCAAGTTGGGGTGCATGTGGACACAGGCATGTGTGTACACACATGTGGAGGGAGCAGCTGGGGGCTGACACCCAGGCGCGCTGTCTCATCTTCACGTTGCAGAGCCACGTGTCCAGGTGTGTTCTCCCATGTTGAGATACGTGTCGTCACCTCTCTAGAGTGTGTCAGTGTGTGCCCGCCCAGGTTGGGATTACGTGTGTGTCCATCCTAGCACATTCTCGTGTGTGGGAGGAATGTCTGTGTGCACACCCATGGGCATGTTTTCATGTGCTGGGGTGTGTTTGTCCAGCTGTGTTCTCACGTGCTGGGCAGTGTACGCATGCATCTCCAGGTGTGTTCCCATACACTGGGGCATGTCTCCATGTGTCCAGGCATGTTCCTGCATGTGTCAAGTCATGTTAGCACACGCTGGGTGTGCCCACGCGTGTCCGGACGTGCTCTCACATGCTGGAGGTATGTTCTCAGCCTTACAGACATGTAAGGGCAGACACAGTGTCAGACCTGTGCCTCCGCACATGCCCAGACGTGTTTTCCCGTGTTGGGAGTTCACTCAGCCATGTCTGTGCGTGCATATGGCACATCTGTGACCTCCTGTGTCACCATGCAGGGGCCTCACCATTCCGGCAGCACCGACGCCGGCAGCACACGGAGACCACGGCGATCAGCACGGCCAGCACCAGGGTGGCAGAAGCAGACGAGGCCCCAATGATCGTGATGGGCAGGACGTCTGTGGTGGCAGGGGAGGAGACAGGGGTGAGATGCGCCCAGCTCTGGTGGAAGCAGCCACATAGAACAGGGCAGGCTGAGGAGCAGAGGTGGGGGGTGGAGCTAGTTGGAAGGGGTGGGGCTAGGTGCTGTGGGGGGAGGGAGTGGATTATAAGGGCGGGGCTAGGCACCTGGAGGTGGGGCTAGGTAAAGCATGGGGCAGAGTTATGCAGAGCAGGAGGTGGGGCTATGCAGAGCAGGGGGCGGGACTATACAAAGTGGTTGGGCAGGACTTAGTGCTATAAATGGTAGAGGGTGGGGCTATGCACAACAGGCAGTGGGCCTCAGAGGACAGGGGGCAGGGCTTAGTGTGAGGGGGCGTGGCAAGCTGCAGAACAGGGTAGAACTACGCAGATCAGGGAGCAGGATTTACTGGCAAAGCTATGAAGAGCAAAGGGTGGGGCTGAGGCCAGGCAGAGCAGGGGGCAGGTGTCAGAGCCTAGGGGCATGTCGATGCAGATTAGGGGGTGGCGCTTCTCTGACCAGGACAGCGAAGGGGGCAGAGCCACAAATAGGAAGTGAAGGGTGGGGCCAGATTATGCAAAGTGGGGGGTGTGGCCATGCAGAGCAGGGGGCGGGGCTCACCAGCGCGGCGCAGGCTGGTGGCGGCGGAGGCAGCGCCGTGGCGGTTCCAGGCAGTGCAGTTAAAGGGCCGGGCAAAGTCCTCGTCCCGCAGCGGCTGGATGAGCAGCGCTGAGCGCAGGCCCCGCCCCCAGGGTGCTGTGTCCACCACGAACCGCCCGGGCCCGGCCTCCAGTGCCACTGCCCGCTCGCCCCACGCCCATGCCTGCCAGAGACACAAAAACGACGTGTGTTGGTGCCCATAGGAAGATGGGCACAGCCCTGACCAATGGACGCATGCCACCCACATGGACAAACATAGGTTGGCCCCCATGAACAGAGAGACCCCCCCCACCAAACGGCCTGGACACGGGACAGGTGGATGCCTCCGCCCCCACACACATGGACACAGGACGTGTGGCCAGTCCCTCCTAGACACACGGACACCCAGACACGGGATGTGCGGAAGACCCCCCAGACACACGGACATAGTAGACATGGATGCCCCCCTCCGGACACATGGATATGGGACACACGGACCCCCTTCCCCGCAGCTGCCCAGACATGGGCCACGTGGCCGGACTCACGATGCGGTCAGGGGGTGGCGAGCTGCCCCCCACGCACTCCAGCCGCCCCCAGGCCCCTGGCACTGTTGGCTGCCCCGGGTCCAGCTCAATGATGGGCGGGCCTGCCGGGGCAGAGTAGGGGCCAAATTAGGAAGCCCCACAGGCTGCGGAGGCCCCGCCCCAACCGGGGTGGGGGCACCCATGCCCTGCTCCCTTAATCCCTGCGCACCCGGGAGAAGCCCCACCTCCAGTAGACCCCCCTCTAAGTGCCCCACCCCATGCTCATTCCTTGTGTTCCCACCCCCAGGACATGCCCCCCTAAGCTGTGCCCCCTCAAGCCCCTCCCCCTTCCTAAGCCCCACCCCCAGGCTCATCCCAAATCCCACTCACCTCTCCCTAAGCCCTGCCCCTCAGGTCCCACCCAACTCCTGACCCCATACTTAACCATGCTCCTACCTCCCCACAGAGCATGCTTCTCCCCCTCTAAGCCCCACCCCCAAGGCAGCCCCTCCCCCCACTCAAGGCCTGTGACCCCCCACCTCCACTCCAGGCCAGTCCCACCCCAGAGGAGGCTCCTCCTTTCCCCCGGCCCTGCACCCCTCCTC